AATGTGATTTGTGCAAAACTAACCTCATATAATGTTTCCAATATGAAATGGATTAAGTACTGGGGAAGGATATTGACTTTCATTCTAGGGAAATCTGGAAAAAATCCTTGTCTCTGGTTAACAAATAAACCAGGTTTCCCACTCTGATGAAAGTAGAATTGCTATAGCTGCAATTCCTCTCTCATCTGAGAGGTATCAGGTTGGCAGCCAAGTTCCAAGTCCTCAAAGACACTCAGACATATAAACAGCAGCAGGGGCCACTGAAACACTCCAGGATGCTCACAAGTAATCAATTTACAGGCTCCTTTTTTGTGCAGTGGAAGAGAGCTACGCAATCCCTCCTCCTCCTCCTCCTCTCAGACAGATCAGCACACTGGTGCTTCAGCTTCTTTGACTTTTCTCTCTGGAGAGCCAAGGCTCCCTCCATGGTTCAAATAGAAAACCTAGAGACACCTGTCTCACCAAAGTCCATCATTTTTAATTATCCCTTTCAGCTTTACTACTAAAAAGAGATCACAACTTCATTAAAAAATTGTGTTCAAAGCTATTTTATCCATTTGCAAATGGATAAAATAAAGTGAAACAATATTCTAGACTGCTAGTATTGTTCGTGTTTGCATTTTTGCTTTTGCCTAAAGAACATCAGTGAGATCCCTTAAAAGCATAAGATACTCAAATGAAATGTTTTAATACTTGAGTTTTATGTGTCAAGGCATGCAAATCAATGCACACTGATAGAAAAAGCAACTGGGAGGCGAGGCAAGTGGATTGTGTCTCTCATGTTACACCTTGGCTGAATTCTATTAAAGAGGAGAAAAAATTAATCCAGAGATCCTATTTTATCTTGCTGAGCTAAAAAACTTGTGAATAGAGGGATTTTAAATGAAAGTAAGGATATTTTTTCTAAAATCAATGGTGCAGCTGTAATAACACCCTGCTTGTGTCACTGACCAGTCCTGAGCACACATGGAGAGACAGAGAATTGCTGTCACTTACACCTTTAACACTTCTGCAGTGACTGATGCATTGCAGCCCAAATATCCACCCCCAGTGCCAAGCTTGATCTCTCTCTTTTTTCTCATTTAACAGCCCAAATGCACATCCCCAGTCTCTAGCTGGTTTTGGGGTTATTGCCTCTTGCTTGCAGTGCTTGATGTCTGAGCTCTGTACGAGCAACTGGCTCCCTTCTCTGACAAACATGAAAACATCACTCTGCAAACACTCAGAGCTGCCCAACATCCCATCTGAGTCATACTGGGCTTAAAATATAAAGCACTGATCTTGCCAGCACTTATTGTTGCTTGGGAAAAAGTGACTACCCTGAATAGAAGTCCCTGAATAAAAGAGAAACCTACCCAGTGTCATCACTCCTAAATTAAATTATTAAATAGTGTTGGTATAAATATTTCACATCCAGATATTTAACAGATGCAAAATCTAGGAATATCAGCTTCTGACATAACAGGACAATTTGCCTGAAGTATTCCACAATTTCCTTTTCTTCTTTGTAACAGTGCAAACAACTCCTCCACCTTGGAAAGGCAAACAAACAGCTGGGTACAGCATATTTAACAACAGACCACTAAAAACACTTCTGTTCAAAGAGTCAGAATCACAGCAGCAAACCTCAAGTTAATATGGGCTTTTATGGAGTTTTTATGGATCCATTAGCTTGAATAGCTGCTGAATTTTTGAACTAGAATAACAGATTTGCATATATTGCCTCAAATTTGCACCTTGCAAGGTCTGTTTCCTAATTTTGAGTGATGAAGGCAACAAAATAATACCAGAGTGCGCCTGAATAGTGCATTATATGAACTGTAATGCTTTTATTCTCTCTAATTTATTAATGTGCCATGCTTCAAACAGCAGGGGTTTTTTCAGTCATCTCATTGAAGTGTCAAAGATGTTTAGTACAAACATTTCTAAGATATTCCTTTTTAGACTGTTCATGCATTTTGTTTTAGCAAATAGTGAAATCACGCATTTCAATTTAATTTTAATGTTCAATTCACACAGAACATTTTCACATAGTTCTCAAATCTACTAATACTAGTCAGGCATAGTCTTCTGGTTGGAAAGAGCAAGTTTACAAAACTTCATTCCCACAAGTAATGGAAGTAATTTCACTTAAATGAAATCACTGCAGAATTGTTCTCATTTAATTTTTTTTAAATGCAAAAAAATGCACAGCACTCCTCTCTTCTTACAGCACAAAAAGTGTAAAGGAGGGCAGGTCCTCACCTAAGTGCAGTGCAGCACTGATAAAAATTCTGGATTTTTGGGGATGAAAATAAAGATAAACAAGGCAGATTTTCCAAAATATCAAATAGGACCTCCTCTTAACTTCTTGTTTTGTGGGGCTTTCTTGAATGCAAACAATCTTGAATAGTTTTATCAATATAAATGGATATTTCCTTTGCTACAGAAGAGTAGTTTTTTAAACTACCAAGCTATGTATATAAATAACCAGGGAGAAAAACAAGACAAAAAAGGCTGAGACATACAAAAGTAAATTGCCAGATAATCTTTAAAGATTGCACTTAGGCTAAATTACTGGTACTGATCTTAATTATCCAAAGTGGCTCCATTAAACAAATGAGATGTCTGAGAACCACACAGGAATATGTGTTCTGATTTTGCTCCCCAAATTGTTTGATTAATATGCTACAAAGCTAATTAATCTTAAGGGAAAGCATAAGAGTTGTGCCTCACATTATGCAGGTTATCTGTTGTTAACTAGTAATACACCCAAAAGAACTCTTAATCTAAAGGGTACATTCATTATTCATGTTTTCTATTTAATATTACATTTTAGGACTGCCTAAATATTGCTGATCTTTCTCTTAAACCAATTTATAGAAGGAATCTGAAGATTCCAAAATAGACCTGAGAAGTGTGGACAGACTCGCAAAGTTCTACTTCAGGAAAATTTGTAAAGTCATCTTTAAGTACAGAACTGAAAATTGCAATACTCAGGTTGTGGGACTGGGACTTTCCAAACAGCAAAATTTCCATATGGTTTTTTTTTTTAACCCCTAAAGCAAAGACATTCCTAAATTTGGACACAATATAAATCCTGGGGATGACAACTAATGCTTGCTTGCAAGGCTGCCATACAGAGGACTGCTGAATTGTATGATGGTGCATAAATTCATCTCAAGATGTGCTCCATGAGAGAGGAAAACTCTTTCCTCATTCTCCTGCAGATGAGTTGAGCAGACAGCATTTTAAAAATATGGGAAGCAGGACATTTTATAAACCTTCAAAGAGTGGAAAGATCACAAAACTTCATGGAATCATCTTAGAATGTCCAGGGTTGGAAGGGACCTTAAATATAATCCAGTTCCAGCCCCTCTGCCCTGGGCAGGGACACCTCCCACTAGACCAGACTGAAAAAGACAGTCTGTGGGAAACTGCTAGAAAAAGTGGTACAAAGTAGCTTTAATATTCTCTACTATAACCAAAATTTGACATTTTAAGATTGACAGAAGAATGAATTTACTTATTGCCATCATCGACATGAACGCATACATTACGTGTGATAACGTTTTTATGAAATTGTGCCATCATTCTACTACTTAGTAAAAATTTTGTTTGCTAGCTCTTCAATGCAAGGAGGGTGTAAGGTCTAATTAGCCCTGTGAAAACACACTTTCTGCTTTGTTTTTAAATCAGGGAAGTTCCTCACGGACACTTGGTCCACTTGGTGTGAAAGTGAGATATGTGCTGAGCTTGAGGGCTAAGGATTTAGAGACTGTGCATTTCCAAAAGGAGGTCTATTAGAAAAAGTCATAATCTTTCTGCAAAGATGCACTGAGCTGAATTGTATGTGAAATACTTGTAAGAATACAAATAAGAAATAAAGCAGAATAAGAAATGGTATCATCAAGGTGTTCCAGCTACTTATGAGATTTAAAGCATATTTTTGGCTAGCAGCCAGTTAGGGGCTGCCACATTCAAAATCTTACATGTAATTTGTGATATTTCTGTCAGAGGGATGTTTTAGCTGCCTGTGGGGTATATGACAATAGAGATAAAAACAGCAGATGGGATCAGAGCACTGTTTTACTAATCCAGCTAAAAGCACTTATGGGAGAAAAAAGTCAGAAACTATGCTAATAAAAAAATATATTCTGTAATCACAAAATAAGATCTTACATTATGCAATGTGCCCTTGTCTTTCAGTACTTTGACAGGATTGCCCACTCCATTCAGTTTTCTCTCTAATCTACATTAACCTGCTGAAAAAAATCTCAAACGAACCAAAAAAGCGGTTTAATGCCTTATGTTTTTAAAAAAATATTAGACTACAATTTTCTCTCTTCTACAGCTTTGTATGGCTACAGGAATGTACTATCAAGATAACAGGTATTTTTCTTTTGTAAAACACACCTTTGCAATTACAGAAATTAATCCCAGAGTTTATCAATTAGATTTGTGTACACAGGCAGAAACTGATTTTCAAGCAAAATATTTACTTGTTATTTTTTCCAGTTTTCATAATGATAAGAGTTCCCAGCTGATAAGAAAAAGCTGTTGCCATAACAAAGAACACAAACAGAATATATTAAAGCAGGAGATGTTTCTTTTGATGGTAAATTTCTTTTTAAATTAATATCCATGCTTTTGCTAAGGTCACTTGGTCTGTTCAGGCTGGAGAGGAGGAGACTGAGGTGAGACCTCGTGAAGGGAAGACGAGGGGCAGGCACTGATCTCTGCTCTGCTGACCAAGAGTTTGGATATTTTATCTTTTCAACTAGGATTGCCCAGTGCTTCAGTGGAGATTGAAGAGAAGAATCAGTAAAAGAGTAAGAAATATAACAAGAGCAAAATGGAAGAAAGATGAAGGGAAAAAAAAAAATCAAGAAGTTATGTGAATCAGCACTTCAAGTGGAAAGGTTGAAAAGCCAGCCATGTCTGATATAATTGGAAGCCTCAAAATCATTGAAGTTCCTTTGTCAGAGATGAAAATAGAAGCAAAGCTGCCTCTTGTAAAGAAGGCCACTCTCTGCCAGCATGCATGAAAGCAGACAGAGCCTCATCCTTTAAATGTGGCATGCAGGAGGGCATACTGGAAAGGAGGAGGAGGAGGAAATGCTCACAGTGAGAGGTATTTGGGGCAAAAATGGGCAGGGGAGGAAACTGTAGGGAGGAAAGGAGGGTTGTAGTGTAGACTGGGCTTAAAAGAGAACAATATGGGCAAAGGGATAAAGAGATATGAGAAGGTCAAAAAGGGGAGAGGAATTCAGAGTATAAGTGGGGCATTTCTGAACATGTCTAGATGTCTAAATTGACAGACATTTGAAAGTGGAAAAAGCAGTGCTAAAGTCCACCTAGGAGAAAGGAAGTGCAGTTTTATATGGAGCAGCTAAAATTGCATTCTTATGTTCACTGGAGACCCCATTCCCCATCAGCTGAGGTGGGAGCTTTAAGAAAAATCATGGAATGTGTCAAAGCTTGTGGTTTACAGGTCTTATGACTCCATCAAATAATTTTCATTCTTGTTTTGAGAATGGGCACCTGCTCTTGATCTTTTCAGACAAGCAACAAATAAGAAAAAAAAAAGTATAATTGGAGATCCTCTCTTTCTGACCTTGGAATTCCTTGGAATGATCAAGGAATGAGGAAATAATTTCAGCTAAAGTCATAAAGAAACAGACCAGAGACATGAGAGAAAAAAAAAAAAGAAATTAGAAGTAGAAGCTAAACTAAAGTTAGCATCTGTCAGGCAGCAAATCTTTGGCTTTGTCAGACTCTGTAATTTTCGTTCCACAGAGGTCGACAGGAGAAAAATGGCACCTAACTGAGGTGAAATGCTTGGTTCTGAGAACGTCTCCTGAAAATAATATAGACTTCCCTTAGTTTCATTCTGCAGCACAAATATTTCAGTGCTTTTTCATGGAAGGCTTCACTTTGATGAACCCTGGCTGCTGCTGGCCAGAATGGTGTGCAAAAAAATCTCACTGCCCAGGGGAAAAAACTAGGAAGAAATTTTTATGTCGCATGGATGTGATAATACTGACCTTGTTTTGAAACTTCCTCAAAAAATAAGGTAGTATCTGCCAATAAAAGAGGTAGTTTATGCTCAGAAATATGTATTACTTTGTTTGTTATAAAGTTAGAAAAGGTATCTGGGAGAAATTTCTGCCTGGATAATTTTGTGCTGGGTGGGAAATACAATAACACTGACCCCTGTGGTACTGAGTTAATCTGTTCTCCAGAGAGGCAGATGTGTGACACAGACACCATAAATATACATGTGCTAGTGGCCGTCAGAATGAATACAGAATAACCTATTTATATGCCTAGTACATAAATATTTGTCAGCAGAACTACCAAAGAGTTGTTCTGCCTCGGAAAAAGTGACCTCAAAGTTTTGTGCTCAGCCCATAAAGTCTGCTCTGTACAGCTGATTAATCCAGTTTGATTTGGATTTATGAGCTCACCAAAGAGAAATCTCTGGAAGGAAGTGACTGTTTTAAAGACTGCCCTGTCAGAACAGACTCATTTTAATGAAGGGACTGAGGAGGACGCCAAGAGCAAAACTGGTTCTCATCGGGGTACAGTTTCACATTCTGTGTGATTCTGTGATTTCACAGAAGAAGGAGGAGATGGAGGGTGAGAAAGGAGTTGGGATGGAGGACAAAAACCCATCTTCCAGTTGTGATCCCTGCTGGACTGACACAGAAAAATTAATGGAACATGTTGCTTCCATCGAGGCACTTTTCCCAGTGCTGTCTCCTAGTGTGAGTAGCACCTTGATTTTTTGAAAAAAAGTGGGTTTTGAAAGGCACTATTACCTAATTACCAAATAATTTACTTGCCAAAACACCTAAACCTAGATAAAGTGAAGGTGATAACTAATTTGGGAGATGTTTGGGCAGACAGATGATGCACCATGAATGCGTTGAGGTGTATTATGTACACAATTGTACATAACAGGTATCATAGAAGATATCTGGGAGCAAACAAATAATTTGAACCTAAACCCACCAGTACTATGGGGTTCTGAGTTATCCTTGGAGGATGAAAGTCTGTTTGGTGGAAATCTGCAGGCTAGAATGAGCCTGGCAGACTTCAAGGCAGATGAAATAGCATTACTGCTCTCTATTTCTCAGATGATTGAGGTGATTGTAGATCAAAACTTGTCTCACTGACTTCAGGGCAGTGTCTCTGAATTGGCACTGGGCTTTGTTTCAGGGGCCTGGAGGCAAGCTAAATAATTTACTCGAGATCCCAGCTTCTCTCTTTCATTTGTATTTTTTTTCTCTCATTTTCTACTGGTAGCAATATCCTTGCTCCTGGCTAGCTGTGCTGTGTATCACCTAATTCACATCACCTATGACAGGAAATGTAGCTCTGCTCTTCTCCCAGACTGACCGTAAGGCTGGTGCATTTTTCCCTACCTGTCATTAAAAGCAACTGTAAAAACCAACCGACCAAATAAAGCCAAAAAAAGCCAAAAAACTCAACATCTCTAACTTTGCAATTACATCTTACACATAACTAAAAATGAGAGACCATCCCTCAAAACACAGGCATAGAATTTACCCTTTGAAAAATCAAATTCTGTTCAATATAAATCTGGAAAGGAAAAAAAAAGCAGAAATATAAAAGCTGATCTGCTTTGTGAACAATAGTAGAACACATTTTCAGTGTTTAAGGAAAAAATTGTGCTTTACTTCACTAAAACTACAGATGTTGGATCAGTTTCAAACCTGAGCTAGCAACAAAAACTGATTAAGAAATATCTGAAGGAGTTTATAAAATAGTAACACAAGAAAAATTAAAGCAGAGAAAAAAAGAGAATTTATGCAGGAACTGGAGCTATTGTTTTAAGAGAAAAATGAAGAAAAAAGCTTTTAACTCTCCAAAGGGTTGAAAATGAGCAAAGTAGTCATTGTGTATGAGGGGAAAAAAAATAGAGAAAATTAATGAAGATGGAAAGGTGTACCACAACTGCAGTTAGAAGAGAAAATTCAGTTCAAATCACACACTTCAGATGGAAAGTTTCTCTCCTCACTTAGAGCTGTGATCCTTATTAGTGTTACTGTAGGTGAAGTGAGCAACCTTTATTTGTATTGTGGGATGATTTTCCACACCCTGGCAAACAAGTGCTGCAGAGCACAGCAGCTGATGCAAACCTGTGCATCCCATGAGACTGTGGAGAACGCTGACAGCAGGGAAAGGGGCAGACAGCACAAGTAGTACTTGCTGACAAAAATGAAGGAAACAAAGTCAGGTGGGTTTTGATCTCATTAAAAAGAAAAAAATAAATCCAGAAATGAATCTACCATATGAGTTCTGCACTCCTTATGGAGTTCTGGAGTTCTGCTGCAGTGTCGTAGATCCTCGACCGAGACAAATAATTCTCTTGCAGACAGCCCTCTCCTAAAATTAATGGGAATGAAAGAGAAGCTTGTCTCCCTGCCTTGTGTGTCCATTGAACATTGATCTTTAACCTGCAACAAGCAAATCCTATCAAAGCTGCTGCAATTTTTCTGCAGCAATGGCTGGGGGAATGAAGGGTCAGTGCATTACTGTGTCATGTCTTGGTGGTTCCAAACCCTGCTCAGAGATGGATGGTCTTGAACCTACACCCCAGAAAGACAACCAGGCAGCTTCAAAACACATCAAAAGGTGGTTTTTGTTACCAAAAACGCTTTCATTGTAGAGACATTCAAGGTGGATGATGATTTTTGACAGAGTTGCAGTCTTTTGTTAATCAGGTGTTAATACACAGCTCGAGGGATGCTGCTCTTAGACCCACTAAGAGAAAAATGCACACATATGAACAGCACACAAAATTTAAAAAGTTATGTGTGTGTATGTATATATGTATATATATATATGTATATATGTATATGTATATGTATATGTATATGTATGTATGTATATGTATATATATATGTGTAAATATATATATATGTATAGTAATTACTGTTCTGTGATGGGCAACCCACGGATTCCCTGCTCTCATATTCATATTCCTTTTCCATGGTATCCTGCTCTGTCTGGTTAGATTCTCCCCTTTAGCTGAAAGGATGGATCATTACACTTGTTGTGTCATTTACAAAGTTGAAACAGACCCACCAGGTACAAATATGTCCCAATAAATATAATATCATACCTAAGATACCTAAAGACTTTTCAACTTTATAGGGTAAATGTGCTAGAAGTGGATTTTTTTTCTTTTTTTTTTTTTCCCAAAGAAGTTCCAGTCTTAGGTCAATACAAAGTCCTTCCAGATTTTATATGGCACCATAGCATTTATTTGGTAAAACCCTTTGAAAATAAGATGATGAATGTTTTTCTTGTCTGTCTTGACAGTTTAAAGTGCAAGTACTTGAACTGGTGGTTCTCTTGCTCTCACTTAATACTTTCAAGCCTACAGATGATCATACTCTAATTGAAAACATTAAGCAATAGATCAAACTTTATCCAACTTATTACTTAATTTTGTCACAACCTCACTTTATTCTTGTTCCCTTTATTTGGTGAAAGGAAATTTCCATTTCTATGACCCTGTCCAAGTAGGTGAAATCTCCACCAAACTGTTACAAAATCTATGCTGTTCCTTGTAAAATTTTTCCAACAGAGCAGGTAATGAATTTATGAGTACCTTAACAACTAAGGTTATGAAGTGCATTATAATTTCATCTAATTCCTCCATCCTGAATGGATTTTTCCCCGTTCTTTGTAGTTCCCATACAGTCTTTTGATTAATTTCTGTAATGAAAACGACATTTGTGATGGTACTGAAAACAGAACACTGAGTGCTGTACTTGCAGACTTTGCACAAATTTCCTTAGTAAAGATCCTCTCAAGTAACAAAAAAAAGAATGAATGAATTCTTCGGTTCCTACAGTTTCACTGTGATCCTTTATTCTCCACTGTCCCTGAAGCTAAGCTTCTAAATGTTTTTGTTCTCAGTATTTTCTTTGTTTAATCTTCTTAAAGGTACTTATTATGTCACACATTTTATATATCTGCAGTCTTGTTTCAAGGAAGTGACCCTTTTTTAAGAGGCACATGTATGTTGATTTTCTTGCTGTGTAATTCTCTTATAAAATGCAAAAGTATTGACCAGCATAATTTCATGCAGTTCCTCAAAATTATAAGAATCTGCTGAGAACTCCTAAACACTGCAAATCTACGTGCCCTGTGCTCTTAAGAAGTCAGCTCTGAGTGACCTGGGAGTCAAAAATTTCCAGGGATCATTTACTTGAAATCGCCTAGCTTCGTTTTTAAGGTGTTATTTTTCACCTGTGAAGATACAGGTTTCTCTCTGTGTTATTCTTGTGTGAGTCCCTCTTGAGTGATGAATTCCTGCTCTGAGCTGTGTTTTAGAATCATTCTCAAGCTTCACTTTTGGCTGAGGTGTGTTAGGGATGATGTTGAGGAGCTCAATGTTTCCTAATTTCTGCTAGGGAGGCAAAAGGTGCCTGTTCTACACACACAGAAAACCAAAATCCTCCTCTGGCTGAGACTCATCCTGTCACTTCAAGAGACCTGAGACATTTACAGGATGCTGATGGAAAGACCCTCTTCAGCATGATGATGTGTGAAGAGAATCAATGAAAGGACACTACCATAAACATTTACTCCTCTTTCTCCTATTGCCCCACATACACTTCTTCCCCATCAATATTTTCCTGCAAAAGATTTATCCAGGGTGACTGAGGAAAAGTCTGGTGAGAGCTGTACATTTAGGACCTGAGGAAAAGTCCGGTGAGAGCTGTACATTTAGGACCTGAGGAAAAGTCTGGTGAGAGCTGTACATTTAGGACCCCCTCCACCACTCAGAAAGAATGAGGAGTGCCTTCACTGTCATCTCCCATTGCTATAGGAAAAGCCCAGATGATCAGCTTAGGTCAGAACATTTTCAAGGATGTTAAAATCAGTGAAATTAATTTGAAAAATGATGTAATATTCCTATCTTATATCCCTGCTCCTACATCTGAGCTACAACAAGCAAATTCAGAGGTCAGAACTCATCTTTTGCAAAATGCTGCAGAGTGAGGCAATTCCCTCCTGATGGGACTTTCAGGAAAGTGTGGAAATGCCGGTGAGGCACACAAAGCTGCAGGTCTGGAAAGGAAGAATTTATCATTCTGGAAAGGAGGAATTTAGAGTTCTGCCAAGGTGGAATATACAGTTCTGAGCTTGCCTGCATCATGTAACCCGATCATGCAGACACCTACAAAACCAGGGGTGCAAAAGAAGGATGTAAACCATAATTACAGGCAAGAGTCAATCAGCTCCAAAGAAATGCTGGGACATGAATTACAGTTGGCCAGAAATTGTGAGTTAAGCCTCTTTCAGCCACAGCCATTAACGTGTAAAAAGCCTGCTGAAAAAAATCAATACATAACTGTAGCATTTATCAAGTTCACATAGATTTGTGTTGTTCCTGTCTAATTTGGATGGCCTTACCTAGGAGATGTTCACAAGTGGGACATCAAAACAGCACCTGGGAGGCAATTTCCTCATTTTGCTTCATCCTTTTGGTGTTCTATTGAGGAATAAGATCCGATGTTAACTTCAGATTCTTTGAAAAGAGATTGTTATTGATCATGTCAGAGTGCTGTGTAAGACTTTCCATGTATGAATCTTCTATGTGGCTTTTCCTCTCATATTTAACTCTTTGAGCCAATGCTTTATCACCTTTTCCAATTACACACACACAAAAAGCTAATCTGAATGATGAGTGGGGAAATAACATTTGGAATATGCAATGGAGTTTGTTTACATTCTGCTTTTATCTTGAGGGTACTGTTTTTGCTGATGGGAAAAGAGAAAGCCAACAAAAGAGGTAAGAAATTAAATAAAAACCTGAACTACTGTTTCCAAGAGGCAGCCTGACATCAAATTTGCTTAAATACCAATATACCTTACATTTTAAAAAAAAAAACAAAACCAAAATACCTTAATTTTTTGGGTTTTTTTTAGTGCCTACAATTCTTGCAAAGTCAAATTTTACAGCAGTCATCTTGCATGAGATACTGGCAGTGACTATTCTCTTACTGCAAGACTCCACAAAATAGAAAGCAATCTGTGACCCAAATATTGTTTTACTGTGCAACACTGACATTCTTCACACAGGATAAAAGAGTAAATGGAAAAGGAATTTAATTTTCCCAAGGTTCCTCCATCACCTCACCAACTCTCTGTTCCTTCTCCCTGCTTTCAGCTCCGAATATCTTGAGACCCAGAGACCCGGAAAAATATTGCAGTTGTGCAAGGAGGCAGAATTAAGACATCATTTGCAAGAAACATGAATAATGTGACTAAAAGGTACAGCTTTTTCTTTCCTTTTAGTGACTTGAAAACAAAAGCACTGTACACAACAAAAAAAAACCCATGAGCACATTTTCAGGATGGGGCTTGCACAGAACCTCAGAGACACTGAAGTTGTGTGGCAGACACATTTATGATGTAGGAATTCCAGCTAATGATCTGGGTCCCAGAGCTTGTTAAGATTATCTTCCTTGTTCTTGTTATACTCACTTGAGTAGTCATTTTGTAATTTTTCCCCCTGTTTAGAGTTAAGAAGCCCTACTTAACCAAATAAGTCTTTACAGAAGCTGCTCTGCCATGTAATCAAAGCATCTTACAAGAGGCTGCTCTTCCAGAAACATCAAATTAGCTCCATTTGAAATATTTCCTTTCTACACCCTTCACAAAAAACCTAAAAGCAAGTGGTTAAAGGAGAAACAATGAACCCCATGCTGGGTGCACTGCTGGTGGTAATCATTGTTTAATTACTCCAGAGGCAATTCAATTCATAAACAGGCTTACATAAATATTAGTAATTAATCAATCCTTTAACTGATTTGGCAAATACTATGTGGCATTAAAGTGTAATTGTGGCAGAGGTTTGAGAAGCATTTTTGATTACTGTTTTAACAGTGAAATATTTTTAATAAGCAGGGATAGATTAGGGGTGTGCATGTATGTATGCTCACTTGCACATTCTTTAGAACAGGATCTAGTGCAAGGTGGACTCCAAAATTCAATGCAGAAGATGCAATTTAGATCTTCTGCAAGTTGTATTGTTGCTTGTGACTCTCCCTGGGAAACTGAATTCACTGTACAGTCCCCCTTATAGCAATTTCTCCAAGCCCAGCAATAAACCCTCTGCAATTTGTGAAAACAAAGGGGAATAGAGCAGCTGAGGATTGCTCAAATTCCATAGGAAACCCTAATTCCAATTTACTCAGGACTGATAAGGCCCAGCCCAGTCTGTGTGGGCACGTGGAAGTTGCAGGTGCACAGGAGAACAGCACCAGTGTGATGTTTGTCATGAGAAATTGTTTTTATTGGCCTGGCCTTGCATGGAAGCACCTTTCTCCCCCACCATCTCCTCACAAAAAATGTTCTGGAACAGCAGCAGATCTACTAATCTGAATGAGAAAAATATTTCAGATCTACTAGTAGGGCACAAATGATGCTTTCTGTCTTCCTTCTGTTCAGCTGTGATGCAGAAAATTCAGTGGCTTTTGTTTCCACTTTGTTTGAATGTGCTGCAATGCAGTTTGATGCAAATGACTGAGCTAAAAATGAGTATAACTAGATCCAGCCTGTCTGTCTCTACTTCTATTTCCTTTTGTCAGCTGTGCCTTAAAAGAACAAATACATTCCAAGCTACCTGAACAGCCCTCCCTCCCCCAGTGAGCCACACAACTTCTCAAAATATCATCCCTTGTAGTCACTGCGGCTGTTTTGGATAGATGTTTCCTCTGCTACTTCCTTCAATTCACAAGGGTTTTTTAATTAATATCTTCAATTCAGTTCTCATGAGAATAAAGCTATTACAATGGCTAAGGTTAAAATTGCATGTTTGCTTTAACAAGAGCCTTCCCAGCTTCTCAGAGTCCTCTTTTGAGGGATTTAGAGTTCTAAGTTTCTGGAAGAAACACTCCCTGCTTTTCCTCTCTGTTCTTTTTTCTGGTGATGAAAAAATGAGGTAAAATACTGGTATTTTTGGGTTGCAAAAAATAGTAAAACCTAAAAGAACAGGACTAAACAAAAAGCTGTGTAATGCTATTAGAACTGAATAAAAAAAAAGTAGCAAACATTTTCAGACTTGTAAAACTTTAATTGCTTTTAATGACTGAAATTACATGGTTATCATCTCTGATTATTAATACTGTTTCTAAACATAAATCCAAGTTCAAGATAAGCACAACATTTACCCACCTGTTATCTGTTCCTGATCATCTCCTCTTTACTTTTTCTGCCAAATACACCAGACCTGGTGTTGCCACTGTGAGAAGAGAGTTTCATGGAAACACAGCTTTTGCATTCTAAATTATTTGGTTAATATCATTCTAACATCAGCCCACTTTTTACATGTTTATATCCTATAATGTCCAGGGACCTGATATGATTTTTATAAAATATCACTCAGACATTCAGAAAAAAAATCAGACATCAACAAAAGCCTAAATAAAATAAAATAATAAAAAATAATAAACAATAATAACGAATAATATAATAACTTATAATAATAAAAATACACATAATAATTGATAAAATAATAAATAATAATATGTTATTTATATAATAAATAGAAAATAGTAAAATGAACACTAAATAGCTCACAGATGATTGTGTAATAATAAATACATATATATTATTCTGCTCAGCCTGGCTCATCTAGAGCACCATATTTCTGTGAGACTGTTGACTGGCGAGGCACACACTGAATTTGGAAGAGCTGGCCGAGTACTCCAAGCAGCAGAACGTTACAAAAGACACATTATGTTCAGTTTCTCAGAATAGAATGAGGTATGGATTCATTTTGGCTTTAGATGCCCTGAGATCTTAGCAACAAACCAACTGCACAGACTGAATCATCTCCACCAACTTCTGCTCAGCAGCTCCCCAGCTGAGATATAGATATATATATATATATGTATAGATAGGTGTATAGATATTGAGGTTTGTAAATGAATATATACATTTATACCCCCTGCACTACACATACAAGAATTTCTTGTCCTCTCCCACCCAGAAAAACAGTGATTTCTGTCTCAGGATGAATGCCACCAGCTCCCTTGGCTCTCAGCAGGCTGGAGCTGAGCCAAGAGGCATTTTTCCAAGGGACTGACATTCTGCCCAGGCTGCAGACACACCCTGGCTCCTCCTCTGGGCCAGGACATGAGGAGAAGTGTGGGATCAGCCACTGTAATTTGGAGGTGAGTAGGAGACTCAACAGAGGCCAAAATACATCGTAAAACAGCTTAAAAATACACAAGAGTTCAAGAAAACACGAAAATTTGTAACAAAATTCCCTTTGGAAAATGCAGTAAAGGCTATTGCTGGTGTTTATTTTATATATTGTTGAGGCCTTTATAGAGAGAAGGTTTTAAAAAAAATAATAATGTTTGCAAGGTTATTGGGGGCAATGCAGACAGAGCAAACTTTATGTGAGATGGAGCTGAACTTCTTCTATTTAACTCTTCCTCACACTGAAGTCAGCACTTTTCAGCTTGTGTTTTTACAATTCAAACAAGCCCTGGGTTTATTCCTCCTAGAACTAAATTCTCAGTACTTCATACACAGGGACAGAGGTTCCTATATCTTCCATTGGGTGAGTCCTTCATTTGAAAAACATTATTTATTAATTGCTATTTTTAAGGATGAAATCTGCTGGAACAACCATGAAAAAACATCTAAAAGGCACGATCACGCTCAGTTTCCTTTAGACAGGGACACATCCCTGTAAAAGAACACAAGCCCTCAAGGCACAGCTGCTCTACAGCAAAACCAACCCAATCAAGGTGACATTTGCAACAAAAAAACATACAGGAGGTTACTGGATTTATCTGTTTTTGCTCTGCAGTTTAGCATTGGTGTCTCTGATTTTGCAGTGGCTCCCAGGCCTGCCAGGCCAGCACGCCTCACCACACCTCCAGCAGGCACAAAATTTTCTCTTCAAATGTCATTGTGTGTCCAGAGCTCCATGAAGAGAGGCTATCAGGTTTTCATCTGGGAGGATGGAACCCGTGTTCAGGCAGAAAAACCATATCAAAATCAATCAGGCTCCAGAGAATACTGAAGCTGAAAAATAAACTGGTTTCACTGTTCACCAGTGATCAGAAGCTGACACTTTCAACAATGCTTTATTTAGGGAAGGCCCAGAAATATCCTCTTTAACAAAAAATAAATAGATAAATAAAAATTGGACTTATTAAATTCAGCTAGCCAGAAAGTTCAGTGACAAATTAAGCCTTGTTAATTATCATACCCTCTTCTCCTCAGTGCTGTGTACCAGTGTCAGTCTGGCAAAGATCATGGATTAAGGGTAAACTCTTCATACAACAGAAATGCCAGCACGGATGTCACGTCTCAGATTTCACCCAGCAGTACAGTAAACTTCAGTACTTGCATTTAAAAGGAGAAAAAAGAAGCAAATAAGCCCCAAATGCTGCTGGCTTCAAACAGAGCTTGTCACTGTCTGTAGAGATGCTCTGTTTGTCAGCACTTCCCATTTTTGATGCCACTACTGAGCCTGCATGAAACAAATTTCTCTGGTTGAAACCCTGAACGGTAGGGAAGCTTCAGGAGAGAAACAAAAACCTTACATCACATCCATTCTGTTTGCATTTTAAAGCAAACTTGCCAAGGCAAATTATTTTCAAGGTGATGGTCTAAGGTAATGAATAAATATATGTTATTTTCATTAATGCTTCAGTAAAATAGACAAATTAAATTAATTTCTAAATTTTATCGGGAATAATGGCTGCCTTCTGCTAAGGTGAAATCTGTCTCTCCTCAGTTCCATGTTCTCTAGTGCCATTAGGGTTTTTTCCTGCAATAAGAAGAGAAAGAAAAAAATAAATAAGAAATATTTTATACAAAATTCTGCCTTTAAATTTCTTATCCTGTCTCTTATTACAAAAAAATAAAATATCTCTTCTCCAGAGGAGAGACTTATACTTATGACTCAGCTTCCAAGCTTTGCCATTTTGTCAAAAATAATCCTCTATAATTTAACAGCAGCTACCAGAACCACCTTTGCTGAGCAGCTGGATACCTGTAGGCCTACAGAATTCCTGGGGTCTTCCCAAACATAATTCCCCAGGCAAACCACTCCCTGCAAGGAGGGGTCCTCAGGTCATCGCTCAAACTTGAAAATGTCAATTATTGCACTTCTTACAGCGAAAGATAAACTCAAGAGATTTAGAACTCCAATTCTTTTTATAACTTAAATTAGGATAAGGCAGCTGATGATATTCTTAAGATTTTAACAAACCTGAAATAAATAAAAAACTGTTTAGGTAGCAATGATCAAAGTGACTGTAAATGGTACCACAACTACAAATTAAAAATTTAATACTTCGAGGATAACTTCAATACTTGAAAATATTTAACATTAATGTGAAAAGCAGATGAAATGTCTGTCCATGGACCAATATCCTGTGAACAAAGGTCCATTTAGTCAGGTGCATGCCTGTATTTAACTGAGAGGTGGTTGAAATCACTAGACCTAGTTAAATGTAAATGTGTCTTTACTTTGTTCCCAACTTCAATTTCCACTTAAAAAAAAAAAAAGAAAAAAAAAAAAAGAAATTCAGAATTATTTCAGTAAAATCCAAAGAATGTAGGAGGGCATGTGAGAAGATCAGACAAACTGCCTTCTGAACTTTAAGTGCTCTACTTCACGATATCTAATTTTTTGTGTTTCCAGAAAAGCAAGATTTTACTGTCTCTGAAAGACTCCCTTCATCCTCCCACGCACACGTTTTATTTCTGCCTTCTCTGAGACTGCACTTCCTTACACTGAGCTCCTCTCATCCCATGGAGTGACAGAGCCACATCTCACCCAGCTCCAGGTCCTTCATGAATATTAAAACAAAAGAGATCGTGGGAAGGAAAGGGGAATATTGGAAATGACATTTGAGGAAATCCTCTTAAGAATTACTGAGAATACCTTGTAAGGAGAAGAAGGAAACTGGGTCACATCTTCCCCATTTCCTTATTCAGATAAAATATTTATTTTAAATAGTTTAATAAAGAAAACAGAGAGAAGAACCAGGGAAAACCTGTAATTTCTGAGGAAATATCGTTTCCTAAGCACTTGAGAGGATTTTTTCTTAAGGCAATAGAAGGAGTTAGGAGGAAGGAGAGAACAGATATCTGAAGAAGAGAAAAAGAGTTTTGAAGCCAGATGACTTAACTTGCATTCTGACACATAAGGGATATTTTTTTTTAACTTCATAGAGTGCAGGTAGAGACACTGAGGGATGTCTAATGAAGGAAAAAACCCAAAACCAAACAAAAAAACCCCTAAAATCCCCAACTAAAACAGAAACCCCAAGAAACTCCAAATGACATTAATAAGGACATGTTGTCCTGTCCCTATTACAGGAATTTTAGCAGTAATATGCTCAGAGAGGTTCATTTGCTGAAATATTTTGCATTTGAAATACCTCCAGGGATGTGAAGCTGTTTAGTCTCGCTTTCCTTATGTCCTTTTCCTCCTCCCCAGAGAATATTTGCTTGGTGTCAGTTTTGGCACACCCTGGAGGCAGACTGGGCTCCACAGAGTCACTGCGAGCCAGAGGACAGATGATTGTGATTCTGGGATTAACAGAATTTTCAGAATTACAGAATTTTCCTTATTGTTTATATTAGAGCAACACGTAGAGGCATTAACTGAAATCAGAATCTCCCTGTAAAATGGTAGGAGAGGGGATTTTCATGGATATTTATTAGGTTAGATTAAATTAGATTCCACTGAAATGCATAATAAACCCTTTCCCCCCCTAATATTTCAGGTGTTTGAAAATCACTGGATATTCTGTAAAAGGAAAAAAATATTTCATTCATCCTCCTGTCTCTTCCTATTCTTTTTCTGGTTCTCTGTAGTCCCTGCAAGAGGCAGAACCTGTAAATTTGGATTTGGCTGGAGAATGCAAACAAGGTACTGCTGTAACAGACAGAAACAAAAGTCATCTTCAGGTACAACATTTTTATAGCTTCTGGGGAAATATATATTCCACATTCGTCTGGCAACAACTCCATCCTCCATGGCTTCCACCAGGCAGGTCATAAAATCTTTGTCACTAAGAATCTGAATAATTCTTAAACAATATATAAACTTTCTGGGACAGCATGAATTTTGCTCATCACATGGGTGACAATTAATGTTTTCTGATGGTATGAAACAGAAACCACTCAAATTTTAAGCACAGAGTGATTTTCCCTTCCTTACTACAATTGGAATTAATTTTATCCATTTTACTCAAATTACCAAGAGTAAAGCAGTCCTGTAAATAATCAGATAAACTTGCCCTTTTATTAATTTTTTTATATTAAGGATCTATTTACCCTTCACTTAGTATCTTGGTCTTTTCTAGATAAGGGGAAAACAATACAAAAACAATGCAAAATACAAACAACACAAAATCCAGCCAAGCAAATCCCAGACTACTTTATATGTAAAACAAAATAATTGCTACAAATTTTTGAATAAAACAAAATTTATACATAAATGAAAATGGTAGACTAGTTTGTTTATTGTTGGCAACTGAGAGTTTGGATACAAGAAATGGATGATTAGGAAAGAGATGTAAACTGACAAATTTACATGGATTTTACATGAGATATTTTAAAAAAAAAACTAAAAAAAAATCCGTATCATTTTATCAGCACCAAAAACCATTTCAGATGCACTTTGTGACAATCTGTGAAGATAGTTGCAAGAAAAATATATTCACATATCACTGGAATACAATCAGCATCCAACACAGAGCAATTTTCTTAAAGACTTCTTAAAGACTTGGTTCTTTCTATTTTCTTTACAATATTCTGTGTATTTTAACTGTTTAAACTACAGCACACTCTTGCTGTAAATTTATGTCTACAGACACGAAAGCTGGGACTTTCTTATCTCCTCTCTAAGGAAATCTCATTTTCCTTTTATTTGGGAGAACGTTCAAGATTCACAGCTTGAGCACAGGAGTAACTTTCCTGCAGGCACCACGGAATCCATCCCCAGCAATTCCTCCCATTTGAAACCCCTGCCATACCAAAAAAAAAGGAGGAAAGACAATGAGGAACCACTTAAGCTGCAGCACAGGGTTAGAGATGAGCATTACTGAGCAGAACAAGAATGAGAGCAGGATGCTTTCCCTTCCTGGTAACTTGTGTGGGGCTACAGTTTGGATTTGTGGTTACCCCTTGTTGGTAACACAGGGGTGTTTTAGTTACTGTTCACACAACAACGAAGCTTTCTCTGCTTCTCACACCCTCCTGCCAGGACAGCTGACCCCAGATGACCACAGGGATATCCCAGATCTTCTGAGGTCATGCTGAGCAACAAAAGCTGGAGGAAAAAGGAAGAGATGATGTTCAGAGCTTGGCATTTTTGATCCCAAGGTACATTCCATTGTGAGGGATCCCTGGTCTCCTGGGGATGTCTGAACACCTGCCTGCCCATGGGAAGAGATGAAAAAACTCCTTTCATTGCTTTGCTTTGCTTGTGTGTGCTGCTTTTGCTTTGCCTCTTAGGCCATCCTGATCCCAACTCATGAATTTTCTCCCTTTCACCCTTACAGCTCTCCACCCCATCCCAGTGGGGAGGAGGAAGAGTCTGAGGGGAGCTGAGCTGATCTCCAGGGATGAATCATGGCCCAGTACCCAACTGTGTGCACAAAGTGAGTGGATCCAGAGAAAGCCACAGCTTCCCACCCCATGGGATTCAGCAGGCAAGCTGCCAGACCATATTAACACCTCCTAACAGCTCAGGTCAGATGAGTTCAGATGAGTTTACACACACTCTGCGAGCCAGAGCAAAAAAAAAGCTTGGCTGACCTCAAAAGGAGGTGTTCAGACCACAATGAATAATATACATGAGGTTTGGTTGGCCCAGAACAAAACAGCACCAGTGAACCACAGCCGTGTATGAATGACAAATCAATTTGTTGGGAGCTGCTCTGAAATAAGATATTTCCCTCCAGAGAAGGGTCACACCTTCAGAAACCTCTCCTTTGCTTCAGCAGTTACCAGGCAAATAATGAGGAATTACTCCTCAGTGTTTTCCCTGATGGAACAGCATCACCCATCACCTCTGAGGGAAACAAAGACTTGGGATACAAAGTTCGTAGGTGGACCTTGTAACTCCAAAACTGAGAGCCCTTGGAAAGCAGCAGGCTGTCCTACCCAATAAGCATAAAAAACAAGTTGTGTTCTACCAGGAAATGGAGAGCAGAAATTTATGAACAATATTGTTTGGGATGAGTAATTCACCCAGCTCTAATTATAAGTACAGCGCTCTGGAACATTATTGATGAACAGCATCCCATAAGCCTCTAATAACAACTGAAAAAGAAGATATCTGGCATATTTAGTGCTAAATTACACATTAATAAAAACCACTATTGTATAGGTACTTTCTCATCTATTTGTTTAGGATTTCTACAGTGTATTATGTACACGTGGAACTGGAAGACTGCCTAGTAATAAAATGTACTGGAAATGGGAAATTCAGACACCTTCTGGGAAGATCACCTGTTTTCCCTGAGGCCTGGGCCCCATCTGTGGTAGAATTGCCTGTCTTCCTGACTTAGAAAATGAATTTTCTCATAGAGGGAATCCTACAAGCAAAAATAAGCACCAAGAATTGTTGTCAAACCCACAGTAAATATAGAACAACTAAAGGGCTAAAATGAAAAAGGAAAAAACAGCATTATTGTCCTTTCATATTTCAAAACTGTGAACATCCATTAAGAAAATGTTGTACCAATGTGGAATTTTTCTTCCTTTCTGCTCCTGTGGCTTCTGTGGGTAGATTAGTAGAGGGTTCTGATTTTGGATGCCATGGAAAATCATTGTACCACCATAAGTTAGAGGTTAAGATGTAAGATGGGCCACAAGTCACAAAACCAACACAAAAAAAACCCCTTTATTTCATACTACTTTTTTCCTAGTAATAATACTGGTTTTCCACTAAAAATATTCTTTTTTTTTTTTAATAACTTCTTGTAATAAACTTTAGTAACACTGGAATACAAGAGCACATTCTGCTTATGGCCTGATATTTTACTTTTCCCACTACTGCATTACAGGTGCACTGTGCCTGCTTCTTTGTGGGGGAGGGATTTGCAGTTTTTGAAGTGCAGAGCCCAGATATCTTATTTTCTGATTTAACTGTGACTAATTGCAACGCAGAACAGACGCAGCAATACAGCTTTGGGTAGCAGCTTCACAAACACCACATATGCTCTTTTATACTTTTAATTAGCACTTCCTTCCAGAGTATATGTGACAAGATTATTTGAAATTGTGGAGGTCCCACAAGACCCTGCACTATCATTCCATGCAAATCCCTTCTTGCACGTGTTCTCCATCTCCAAGGTGCAGAAAATACCTCAGAACCCTCCATTTATGTGCAAAATGCCATTAAAAAGACTCTCCATTAAAGTGTGTGGCCATTTGCCTGAGGATAGACCAGGCAGAGAAGCTCACTGGGAAGTTTGTCTGGGCTTTATTCAATTAATTTTGAGTCTTCTTCAACTTTTCAGCTCTTTCAGTGCTGGTGGAGGAGCACTGAACATATCACAGCACATGCTGGGCTCCCAGGCTCTGGATTTGGTAGGTGTGTGCCAGCCTGCATCCAAACTTGTTTAGGTAGATCTAAATCTCTCCACCATGCCAACATACTCCATCAATTTGCAATAAGCCTTTGTGGTTACAATTCTGACTCCAGACTGATACTTGGAGCATTCCTGTGGCCTCCCACTCAGTTTGGGAATTAAAACTCAATATATAAATAATTCCATAGCAATTTCTCTAATTATTTTCTCCTATCTTGGACATTGTCACTTATCTTGCCCCCAGCTCAGTGGCAGCATTAACATTTACACTTTTCTCTGAGGGTGGATTCACACATGTTCCTTCCTGAAGGGTTTTTCAAATTGAAAAAGTCTGATAAGCAACCAAATGTCATTTGGGATGGGGAGACAGTGAGCCAAAATACAATTCTGTTGTACATATGATGACTTTTTTTTTGTTCAGACTGAAAGGAGCTAACTTTCCTTTCTGCAGTATCCCAGGAGGAGAGGACAATCTTGATATCTAGAAGAACTGTTTAACCAAACCCCTCTTCACACACCAGCTATGGAGCAGTCAATCTGTGGAGTCATCCAAAACTCTTCTTCGTCTTGCTGAGCACAGCCCTTAAATCCAACTGTTGATTTCACTTATATTCATGTTATTATACAAAACCACCACTCACAGATGCTACCACATAAAATTGCAGACAAACAGAGACAGATGGACGTGTAGATAAATGCACAACACGCATTTAGGTATGGGGAAGAAGGAGCAAAAATAAAACACAACACAGGCTGTGATCATCATCATGGAACTCACCTGAAAAATGGTGATATCAAAAAACTCTCCTGGGGAACATCTTGTCTGAGATTTGCTATGGAAACTGCAGTATGGCTGCACCATCAGGGTTCTGATCTTTTCCAAAAGCAGAGATGTGACAGGCAGTGCCACCCCCTGCCACTCGTTGACAGGTTTGGGATGTACGCTGATGGGGAAAATGCAAATATTGAGAAGTTCCATCATTTGTTTTCCTTGAAAAAAGAAAGTTATGTAAAATAACTGCTTGCTGCTTGGTTTTTTCCTGTCACTTCTCAGCAGTACAAATAACCTAAATCTTACAGCTTTGTTGTCTCTCTGACAAATACTGCAGATGCATTTTTGAGGTGGTGAAGTACTGTGACCTTATGAACAGCAAGCATAAAACAAAGTCAGCTTGTTAAACCAGCTTAATAAGATTAATACCAGCAAGGTTAGCTCAGTTTAATATCACATTTTACATCTTGCCCAAAGAAGTCATAGAAGCCCCATATAAGGCAATATATTGGCAGCAAAGTCTTCATTGCTGGACCAAGAGCTCTCAACTCTCCCCTTTTCAGCTAAATCCTACTCGTCATGTCCACAAGTGTAGAGCAGGATGGATGGATTTACTTTAGACCTGGGTACCTGGTATCAGCATTTGGCTGTGCATATTGGTGAATTAGATCTAAAGGATAATTGCCACATGTGCTAATTGCCTTCATCAAAGCTGTATGAATCAGTTCTTTCAACCACAGAGAGCAGATTCATTTAAATATTTCTTTTAGTGGATGGCTCGCTTTGCAGACACACTGGCATGAAGTGTATGTGAGCTACAGGACAGCATTTTTTAATTACAATGCTTTTCTCAAAATAAAATTAATATAAGGTGCAAGAAAGTAAGAATTATCCTACTTTTACACAGGGATAGCTGAGCCATTGACTTCCCAAGTTTCCAGAAATTTTGTTCCCACCAGCTTTTAAAAAGTGGCTCTGAATGCTGATCAAATAGATTACTAGCTTCTGCTTTTGTTTGCTTTTTGTTAAAGACAATTAAACCAGGACAGCCCAACGTGAAGTCAGTCTATAAACCCAGGAGTGCTGAACTACAGCACCACGGGTAGAGCAGAGAGAGAGACCCTTACTTGTAGCACCCCAAAATGAATGAATGAATGCTGTGTGACCTCTGAATGGTCTGTAAATGCCCAAACCAGAAATTTCCATAAATCAATCACCAGTGTTGGAAATGGTATTGTTGCTCCTGCTTATGCTGGTGTCAGAGGAGGGCTGGGGCTGTCACCAATTCACTGCTAAAGCACTGCAAGCAAGGATTTGGTGTCACATTGCACCAGATGACCGTGGTGATAAACAAAACAGCTTCAGAACAATCCAGCAGGAGTTACCAGGATAAAATTCAAATAAATCATCAGGCATTCCAATTTACCAGCCCTACAGCATTTTTTGGGTCAGCTTTCAAAACACTCCCTTTCCACCCCCACCATTTTCCCTTTACAACCTGTTAAAATAACACTGTCTACAATTACAGGGTCATTTGTTATGCATGATATAATAGACTGCAAATATAAAAAGGCATTATCATTACTTTTGTCCTTTGTTCTTCCAGGCCAGAATATTGCATAGTCCTTTACTTTGACATTTATTGCTTTTAGATTGGTAATAGAATGGTTTGTGTTGCTCATTATCTTGAATGATGATAATATTAGAGTTTGGGGAGCCTGCGTTCCCTGTTAAGTAAAGTAAAGGCTTCATGTAATTTACCAAAGGTTATTACTGGACAATTACCCACAATACAGTTCAAGTCTAATAAACCTTAGCCACATTCACTCTTAAATACCACATCTGGAGTGTGGTTCCTAGGAAACTGCAGAGCATGATTTAAGGCATTTATGTGCCTGGAAGGAGGAGAAGAGTTTATCTGTGCATATGCATCTACATGGCTTTATGTGTGCTTTGCGTGTTCACTAATTGATGTGTGGGTTTGGTGTTTGTTAATGGGTGTCCTTGGGGAAAGGAATTAATTGAAAGACATACCTAGCTGGGACTCTGAGACAGGAATGGAAGGGGAGGAGGGATAGGTATAACCTCACTTTTCATCCTTACTGTTGGGAATAATGGAGTCATTTCATACTTAAATTCCTAAAAATTATATCAGGTTTTGGCCTGAGACTTTACATAAATTCTTATACAACAGCCTAATGTATTAAATTTATCAGCCAGCAAGGCATGAAATTCAGAGCCTGATTTTGTCCTTCCATCCCTTTTATCAGTGCCTGTGGTCAGCATCTCCAGACCAGCAGCAGGGCCCTGTTCTGGACACATTTCCCCACCTGCAGCCAGGGAGTGGCTCCATTCCTGGGAACAGTGACTGAGGGTTTTCCACCTGGGAAACTCCCTGGGCTGGGGATCCTTGACAATCCCCTCCATGTCTGAGACTCTCAGATGTTTACATGAGTAAAACACTCTGTACACAGGCACACACATGTATGCAAACAACATTTTTTTCCCTGTCCCTTTTCTGTTTGCTACTCCAGTCTGCCTGCAGCCATTTATGTTCAATTTATGTTTATCAGTTAATTTCTCTAGCAGCTGTACTTTCAATGAAATGTTTTTATTTGGTGCCAAGTAGTAGTAGCTGGAGTTATTTGCCCTATGAATCTTGGTAGATTAGTTTTTGTAATTTACATACATATCCAATTGCTACCAATTTTCACTGACAGTTTTCTCTTTGGACTTTGTTTCATTTCTATTTTTGAACTGTGGCAGTTTCAGACGTACAGCTCTCTGCAAACTTTATGATATGCCCTGCATTATTATAGTTATCTAGTAATACAAAAGTGAGAGAAAACCTTTAACTCAAAATGTTAAAACAGTCTGCAGCAAATGAAGTTAATGTTTCATGAAATAAATGTCATCATACAAAAAGACTTATTTTAATGGAAATTTGCTCAATGCTTCAGATGTTTCTTTTCTGGCTGACACGAGTTACTATTCTTCACGTGAATCACAAAGCCCAGCGTGATCAGGTCAGCTGGTTCCTCCGTAGGGCAATAAATTAACTGTAAAACTCCCCAGATTTGCAGTTATGATGATGTGAGATGAGCAGCAGCCCGTGGATGTGAGTGACACACCTGCAGTGGCTTTGCTCTCCAGAGGGAGCACGCTGATGGCTGGGATCCCTGATGCTGTAAGAGCCCAAAACCAGGATAATGCTCTTCCACGCTGTGCTGGAAACCTGGAGCAGATGTTTGGGGGAAGCAAGGAGAAGCACACGATTGCTGTTATTCCATCACTCGATGCTGTAATGGGTGGGCAGGTACAGGCAGGAGGTGCACACCTGCAGGCTTGAGCAGCGTGGGCCAAACACAGGCGTCTCTCAGGTAAGGGGAGGCTTTCCAGGAGCTGCTGTGGGATTTCAGTGAGCACAGAAGCTGCACAGACCCCTTCAGAAGCAATTCACCCACTGGACACAGCAGGCCTGGCCCCCACCTCCTACCTTGTGCACAGCAATCGGATGTGAAGCCTAAAGATTTCAGCTTCTACACGTTTTTCACAGCTTTGTGATTAACATA